ATAGGGATGAACTGTTGTTGTTCTTATTGGGTTGTACGGCGGTTGTCTACGTGGCTCGGATGCGGTCTGGGGCGTGACAAATTTGGTCAAAGCAGGTGTACTTAGATCTTACACTAATATATAGTCTTAATTTTGGAAAATTAGTAATATTAGATCCTACTTGTTGAAATATCCCGGTTTAGAGAAGATCAGAATTCGAGTTTTTGGAGGATAAGTTATATTTATAGGTAAACATGGCTTCACTTAGGTCCACCAAAACCAGTTAAAAGCACTCCATGTAAATACACTATTAATGACTACATACTCGAGTCTTAAGAGTACTAGTATAACCCCCGTGCTATGCACGGTGTATGAATATTTCAAAAAAGTACCTATATGAGTATTTGTTATAAAAAATCTAAGACAATTGAAAATGGTTAAATAAAATGATTGTTGGAAATAAATGTGATTGTTCGCCGGTATAAAGAAAATTACAGTCGTGACAAAAAAAGGATTAGTGAGTATCAAATCTTGTGCAGTATAGTCAACACTACATGTTATAAAACACTTTGTATACTACACTTGTGGTCTCTTCCTGAGGTCTCTCATCTTCACCTTGAATAAATATTTTAATATCAAAATAATTTGTATACCTTGAGATGATTAATATTAGTCCATGGCTAATACATTTTCTTGATTAGTATGATTATGTCCTACTTGTTGAAATCTCACGATTTAGAGAAGGTCAGAATTCGAGTTTTCGGAGGATAAGTTATATTTATAGGTAAACATGACTTCACTTAGGTCCACCAAAACCAGTTAAAAGCACTCCATGTAATCGCACTATTAATGACTACATACTCGAGTCTTAAGAGTATTGTATCTGTAATTGACCGATTCATGCTTTTAGCATGTTTGTGTTACTACGAGTCCTATCATAATAATCCTTCGAAATAAGGGTAAAATATGTATAAAGTTCTAAAATATTTAAATCTAATAGTAGTATTTTATTCCCAAAATATACTCCATCAACCTATTTTGTAAGATACATTTTCCTTTTTTGGATTGTCCAAAAAATGTGAATATTTTTTGGGAAAATTCCCTAAATAAGAATCAAAGAATTCAGAAATTCCAAAATAAAACTGTCATGTTTTTATTCCGTACTAATTTAGAGAGATTGAGAGAGAAGAAGTAAATGAATAGTGTAGAATTGAATGTATGTGTTCTACGGTTTACAAGTTACACACTTGGCATTAGAAAACGTGGATCAGATCACTCTCAAATCTAACGATCGCGAGATCGAGGATTCAAGGTCATATACTCTATTGTGACAAAGTTTGGAAGTTTGTTACACGTTAGTGTATGAGTCGACCTATTATGTTGTTTTTACATTAATGATTGACCCTCTCCATCACAAGTTATATTCAATCAAAAAAAATATTCACCTTTACCACTGTTTTTTTTACGTTTGTTTAATCTTCTACTTGGTACTTGGTAGGTTGGTGAGGAATGAAGAGGCTTGCACTAATTTAAGCTATATTTTTCTATTTGCATGCTTTCCTCGTTCTTCCATTTCGAGTCCAATTATTACACTCTTATGATTTTGATAGGTTCACGTTACATTATTGTCAAAGGTATTGTGTACGTACATCGTCCTTCACAACAAAACAAAGGGCGTTCAATTACTATCACCCATAAGTCCACATTGTAGGCCCTAAATTTACACTAATTAATGTAAGTTTCATCATAAAGAGGGTTCAAACATTGACACGACCATTGATCTACCCACAATTGAGTGGTTCTCTTCTACTTTCCCCTTCCAGCATTTGTCCTTTCACTATAGTACTATCATGTTTTAATAAGCATTTATATTCATAAGCTTTTATAGATTTTATTGTCCAAAATTGTCTACTTCTTGTTACTTGTAATGTTTCAGTTATCTAAACGTGGATCAGAAATATGTTACGTAATATGTATGATAAAGTTGTGAGTCGATATCGCTAGTGAATCATTCACTAGACTAATGGATTGAAGAGAGGTACTAGAAATATTGTGGCCCCAGAGTACAAACGCTCCACAAAGAATGACTCATAAGATCAAATAGTACTTAAAATTAATAACAAAATTAAATATGGAGTAATTAGAAAATTATTGCACCATTTTTTACTAAATGTAAAAAGTAATACTTGACTTAAAATTGATATAAAGTATATGAAAATATAATTTCTTCTAAGAAATAAATAAAATTATAAACGTACTACCTAATAACCTATTCTTCTTGCTTTTGACATGTAAAATATGTAAGTACATCACTACAATCAAGAGTAGATAACACCTTTTTTCAATAGATAACATAGCGAGCTCACTTAACCTATATTTTGACATTGTTGAACGGAGATAGTTCTTTATCAACTTCAACTTTGAAAAACTTCTTTCAGCAGATGCAATGCCACAAGAATAGTTAACAAAATTCTGTAATTAAGCAACCCAAGCATGTAGAAAAGAAATACACATCTCTAATGTACTCCATCACTTCAATGACTTTCTTTAACAAATACGATGATAACAAATAATGATTAATAAATTGAATGTAGAATAAGTCATTTACAAATTTCAGTTTATAATTTATATGTGGAATTGCACATTGTGGAAGAACTGAGGAGAAATTAAAATTTTAAATATAAGGAATAATATAATGCGAAATCTCAAATTTGAAGGATGGTCTTGTTGGATAACACGATAACCTAGTTGTTACCTGGATTGCATATTAGCAAATTGCTATTTTGCTAACGTCTGTCTCCTGGCAGAACCGCAGTCCGCAGAAATCAGAACGGCCTAATGGCGACTCAGCTACTCTTGATCTTATTTTCCTTCATATTTTTAAAATCTTGATGAAGTGTTCTAGGCTAATTAGAGTAATAAACTAGATATTTCCAGTTTTTCCTAATTTTTTATTGAGCCATCCGGCTAGGTTCCCATGTGTGGATGTGCCTATTTTATCCACTTTGATTTAATTGTTTTTACTTCTGTCTACTGTTGGCCGCAAACTATATTTGGAGTGGGAATGTGGGATAGCCATATATCAATGTATTAATATATTAATATATATAGTACGTAGTAGTTGATTTTTTATTTAAAAATGGGGCCCCCAATGGAAGTGGTGCCCTAGGCGATTGCCTAGGTGCCTGCCACCCATGGCCCGAAAGTGCAGAGGAGTGATGTAGGTGGCCCGAAAGGATAATTCAATTGAAGTGAGCGAGGATTGTGTTTTGAAGGATGGCTTAGGCCTCCGACTCAACACCTATATACTTACTCTGTTTGTTTTAGGTAACGATTCACTTTTCACGTTTGTCAACGCTAAGTTTGACTCTTAATATCTTTCATTTGTTATGTGAAATTTTTTAATGAGAGAAATTTAACAATATTTTTTAAAAAATTAACTTATAATACATTAGTAAGTAGTAAGTAAAATATGTGAATAGTGCAAAATATCAATGCTACAACTAAAAGAGAACGGAAGTAGTACAAAACCAATTTTGATGTTACAAAATTGCCCAAAGATTTTGAGCGCTAACAAAATATTTTTTGACAATTTAATTGCAAATTTTGGCACATAAGCCATAAGCTACAAGTCATAACCACCGATCTCAAATCAAACTAAATTGAAGCCATAATATGAAGTTATCAACTGCATTAGAAGAAGCTATAAGCTCCAAACAAGCTATCAATGTCCTTTTGGGAGTATTTAATTTGCACACCTAAATTAATGATATGGAACAACCAATGTATGATGTGGAATATGTAATGTGGCCATTATCCTGATATGGCTATTGAAAAGATAGGTGAACATGACCAATGCCCTAACATGAAGGATGATAAAGTAAAAATACCCTTAGTTGAGAATTAAGTTCAAGAATCAAAACTACCCTTGATTGGGAAATAAGATTGAAAAATACCCTTCCTCTGGAAATAAGATGACAGTCTTAGCGGAATGGAGAAAGTATTATTTAAATAAAGCATATACTCTATATTAAATTTTACCAACATTTCAAACTCCAACAGAATTTATCAGCTTTCAACTGTTTTAAGCTTTCAAGTCTTGTGTGCTAGGGTAGACACCGTACTGGTTCCGAATCAGCACCCGAAAACAGTATAAAAGTGGCCTGGTTTTCCAAATAGGATAGGACTGTACCAGAATGATCCAATTTTTTTAAATAAGCTAAGAAACTGACCTAGAACCGATTCGGGACTGGATCAGGTCTATCCCTACTGTGTCCCAAACTAAACGCTTATAAGTTAGCAACATAACATAACATATGAAGGTGAACAATACTGGTTTTTCAGGTTGGGTTACTGCTGTTTATGGTGGTCATTCTCACATCATTAAAAGAATATTTTGGAATGATCTCATCAACATTTCTGCTTCTATTAATGAGCCCTGGGTGGTAGGGGTGATTTCAATGCCATTGCTAAGCACAGTGAACACAAGGGTTCTTCTATCCCCAATCTAAACAGTATTATTGATTTTTCTGATTTCATTGGTGCTTGTGGTCTCATTGATTTACCTCATAAGGGACCTAAATTCACCTGGTCTGGGCAGAGATCTAATGGAAGGGTTTATAGAAGACTGGACAGATGTTTGGTGAATTCTAAGCTTGTTGATTATTATGGTAATATTCAAATATCTATTCTGGGAAAACCCCCTCTGATTACTCTCCCATCCTGCTTAGGTGTGATCAAAATGTTTCTGATGGCCCTAAATCTTTTAAATGTCAAAATATGTGGCTCTCACATCGAGGTTTCCTTGACATTGTTAAACTGAGTTGGTCCTCTCAATCTTTTGGTGAGGGTATGAGAGGGCTGGTAGCCAAGCTGAAACTCCTAAAACAGGACTTAAAAAAATGGAATAGGGAGGTCTTTGGGAACCTTTTTGATGATATCAAATTCTGTGAGTCTAAAGTCCAGTATGCAGAATTGATGTATGAAGAAGATCCAAGTGAAGCAAATAGAGAAAACCTATATCATTCAAGGGCTCTTCTTATGACCAAGTATAAAATGGAGAGAAAATTCTGGAAACAAAAGGCGCATATTCGATGGCTTAAAGATGGAGATGCTAATACCAAATTTTTCCACTCCTTTGTAAAGATTAGAAACAGGAAACATATTATCAATGCCATTTTGGATGAAGATGGAAATTCTGTTACACAGTTACATGAGATTGGTAATGCAGCAGTCTCCTTCTTTTCAAATCTTTATTCAGTAGATTCTCATGTGGAAGATAACTCCATCCTACAGCATATACCTCAGTTGATTAGTGAAGATGACAATAACATGCTTATGCAAATGCCTACTGAAACTGAAGTTAAAACTGCAGTCTGGAATTTAAATCTAAATGGAGCTCCAGGCTCGGATGGTTTTAATGGGAAATTTTTTAAAACATGCTGGGATATTGTTGGTATTGATGTGGTCAGTGCTGTTCAAGAAATTTTTATGGGTATCTCTATTCATAGGGGTATGGCTAGCAGTTTGATGGTCCTAATTCCCAAAAAGGATAACCCTGAACCCTTCTCGGATTTTAGACCTATTTGCCTATCTAATTTTGCGAGTAAAGTGTGCACAAAAGTGTTGGCCACCAGACTTACTACTGCTTTACCAAAAATAATCTCTCCTGAGCAAGCAGGGTTCATGCAAAACGGAGATGTTACTGATCAAGTGCTGATTGCACAGGAAATGATCCATTCTATAGATAAGAAGATTAGGGGATCTAATGTGGTGATGAAACTTGATATGACTAAGGCTTTTGATAAGCTTTCCTGGGATTTTCTGGGATTGATTCTTCCTAAATTTGGTTTCTGTCAGAATTTTGTTCAGCTTGTTCTGAACAACTTGAAATCCACCTATTTGTCTATTTTGATCAATGGGATTCCTCAAGGTTTTTTCCAGCCTAAATGGGGAGTCAAACAGGGGGATCCTTTGAGTCTTTTCCTCTTTTTTTTGGATGAAATGTAAGTATATATTAACACCCAAGAAAATAACAAGTTAATGTTACAATAAATGAGTCCTTTCCTCTTTATTATTGTCTCTGAAGCTTTTTTCAAAGGCTTAAAATGGAACATTGATAGTGGTTTTATTCAACTCTATTGGATGGGGAATGTGGGGTACCCGGTGTCTCATCTTGGTTTTGCTGGTGATCTTCTTATTTTTTTCTTAATGGTGACTCTAGATCTCTGCTGAGTTTTAAAAAGTTTCTCAAATCTTATCAAGATGCTTCTGGACAGTCTGTGAATTTGGAGAAAAGTTCATTTATTTGTGGTAAGTTTGCCAGACCTAGGATTAAGGCTATTCATAAGATTCTGGGCATGCAAAAAGCTTCTCTACCTATTAAATATCTGGGTGTTAATCTACACAAAGGCATCAATAGGTTCAGTTATTGTGACATGCTCATAAATCAGTTTGAAAAAAAACTTTCCCCTTGGAAGCAAAGAAACTTATCTCAGGGAGGTCGATTAATCCTTATTAAGCATGTTCTGAGTGCCATTCCCATCCATTTGCTTGCAGCTGACCACCTGCCAAGGAAAGTGATTAATATCCTGGAAAAAAAGATGGCAGCATTTTTTTGGGGTTCTTCTAATGGTAAAACTAAATACCATTGGATCAAGTGGGCTGATTTGTGTTACCCTACTGATGAAGGAGGGTTGGGTATACGGTCTTTAGCTGAGTTAGAGAGCTTTTTCCATTAAACTTTGGTGGAAATGGCAGACTCACAGTTCTCTTTGGGTTGATTTTATCAAAGCAAGATACCTTAGGAGCCTGGATCTACCTCCTATGGTGACAGATTCTCCAATTTGGAGAAGATTATGTATGATCAATGATTGTGCCAGACAGCTTTGTCAAATTAATCCAGATTATAGTATGCATTGGTTACCTGAAGATGATGGCAATTTCTCCTTAAAATCTGCCTACAACATGGTGAGGGATGAGCTTTCTTCTACATTTTCATTCAAGCATGCTTGGCATCCCAGACAACCCCTGCAAATTAAGTCACTTCAATGGAAAATTCTAAGAGGAATCCTGCCTATTACTGATAATCTGAAAAGATTCAGGGTAATCTTAAATCTTTCTATTTGCCCACTATGTAAACATAGTGAAGACTCGGTGGACCATCTGTTTTTTCAATGCAGAATTGCTTATAATATTTGGAGCTATTTCATGAATATCTTTGGAATCCCAATTCCTAATCAGTCAACTTCAGAGGTATTTTCATGGCATGGTGGCTTAAGGCTCGGAGTATGAAGCTTGTTGACATTTTTAAACATAATCTTCCTGGAATTGTTTGTTGGCATTTATGGAAGGTTTATACTAAGATCATTTGGGATGCAGAAGACACAGTGCCCTCTTCTGAATCTTTAATCTTTCAAATTAAATTATACACTCTGAATTGGGCCATAGGTCTGTCTGATTTGAAGATCTGCAGTATTGGGGAGGTGCTATATGAAGAGAATCTGATTCATAGCAATTTTAAGTTGAAAGGTGGTCGATTCAAAGCAATCAAATGGATGAGACCTAAGAAGGGCTTCAAACTTAATACAGATGCTAAATTCTTACCTGGAACGACGGCAGGTGGTGCGGTTCTGAGAAATGTGGATGGCGAGTTCATCTTGGCTATTTCTTTTCCCCTGCTTGCATCCTCGCCTCTAGAAGCTGAGCTTGCTTCGGCTCTATATGCGACGAATTGGTTACTATCAATTGGCTTTTCGGATTTCATTGTTGAAATGGATGCTGCAGTGGCGGTGGGTTATCTGACGGATGGCGGTGCGGGAAGACGGAAGGAGTTCCAGGAAATGCTACTAAGGGCAAATAGGAAAGGGGTCATTATTTCAACATGTTTTGTAACTGGGTTTCGCATTATTTAGCCGATCATGCCACGGCCCAACATCAAAAATTTTCCGGGCTTCAGATCTTCCTATTTCAGCCCGTCGTGCTTATTACTCTGATTTACTCCGTATTTGGTATTCCCACTATTAGATTAGTTTATTAGTGTATCTCTTTGGGTCAGGCCTAACCCCCCATAGAGTTTTCTTAATTTCTTCTTGCGTCATTTTTCAGGTGAGTTGTATCTTCTGGAGGGGTTTTGGTCTTGTCCCCCCTCGTTTTGTATTCTTACTCTTAATAAAATCAGTGGGGGAACATTTACCCCACTGATTTTGGTGGTTTGCCTTCCGGGTTAAAAAAAACAGTATAATTGTTACCCATTTTCCAAGCAAGGTATCTTGTTGCTGAATATATAATAGAAACAGAGAAAAGGATACCTACCTATCTATAAATCACAATACCTAGTATTCATTGAAATGAATGGCACCCATTTTCCAAACAATGTAAGTTGTCCCAAACATAACTGTGCTGATAAAAACAAACGAAAACACAATAAGGAACACATCGGATCCTCCTGGAAAGTCAAAAGTCAAGCCAGCTTTCGGAAGCCCGCGTTTGCTATCATCTAACATGTTATTAGGTGCCTCAGGAAGGCCTTTCTTCTTCCCCTTCTCAGCCTCACGTAAAACGTCAAACAGTTTGTTTCCCGCCATTGGTTTAGAGGCGGTGTTTGGTTCATTGTAACGGTTGAGAACACGAGCAGCCCTTAGCTTTTCTCTGGCTGTTAGAGATGACCTTCTAAGTGACGGTTTGGCAATATCAGAAGATGCATCCTCTTCCTCCATGGCTCTTGGCTTCTCCTCCCCAGATGAATGATCGCTATTTGCAACTAAGGGATTTAAATTCCACTTATTTTCCTTTTCCTCCTTACCAAACCACACGTTATGTGAGGGACAAGAAAAGTGGAGAGACTTATGGACATATTTTAGCTTTCCCTGCAGCTTTCAATTGGCCAAGAAACAACTTAATCAGAACCATAGAGACCATATAACAGACTTAAATCTTTATAAAACCAATACAATATGCAACAAAGTCTCCTCCTGATAATGGCTCTGTGTGGTAGCCTGTTTTGTCTTATTCTGCTAAGTAGCACAATAAGGACCTTTGGGCTTGCTTATTGTGATGAAATAGATTTAGTTCGGATTTCTTTCCAAATACTCACATTCAACTAATTCAGCCAAACTACCCTTAGCAAACGTGTCTTATGTGAGGGAGGAAAGTCCAAGAAAGAACTCCATAGAAAATAGCAGTACTATTAACTTCAAGAATCATTTGGCTCAAAGAATATGAAATTACTTTAAGTAATAGGATTATTATCAGTAAGGGATTGTAGAGTTAGACATAATATATGGGATTAGCTTGAGTTCTTAGGTTTACAGATGATGCAAAGTTATCAATGATAAAATTGGAATAGTCTAAAATACTGCCAAGGTATTCTTAGCTAGTGATTGGAAAAAGGATGGAGTTTGGTAATGTCATGGAATTTCTTTACATTAAAAATTTCCAAAGATGAAGCAAAGTTACATCATTATTCATTACCGAAGGAATCAATGACCTGAACCAAACCAGCAGCATTGCGAACCAAATAATTTGGGCAAACCTACAGCATTATGTACTAGTGAAGATGTATACTTTCTTTTAACAATGTATACTCATACTGAATCTTTACTGATAATTTATAAGATGAGAGGCTACGATTGAAAGGGAGGGCTAAAAGCTTCTGATTCCAATCGTTTGGATTGTAATTTTTTATCTGGAATGATCTGGTCTTTTTAAGTCTAGTTTGATAGATGTTTGTACTATATGTGTTTTACAACTGTCGAAGTCTGTTATGATCTAATCTGGTTTGTTTGAGTTTGGTCTAGGACTGAAACCACTCTAATTATAAACATCCTAAGTAAGAATGTTTTTACTTAGATGTTTTTAATTGAATGTAAGGATGTTTTCAATGGGACTAGTTTCAATCCCGGATCATATCAAACTTAAATAAACCAGATCAGACTTAAATAGACTACATTAGACCAGACCAGACTTAAACAATACTCCGTAGTAAAATACACATAAAGCAGACATCAATCGGACCCGACAAAAAAAATTCAGTACAATTAAAAACATCTTAAGTCCATCCCCAATACTACTTTAATGCTGCTACTTTCAATACCAAATGCGTAATTCTATTCACAGCCCCCAAATTGCTATTCACAACCATTTAATTAAATAAAAATAAATAAAAAATAATTTAAATATTTAAATTGCCCTTGATATTCGAAGTCATCGTCGTGCTCTCAATCATTTTGCCAAAGATCAACTCCACCGATTAAGCACAATCAATCCTTCAGCATCCTAAATAGAATTGAAGCAGATCTTGAAAGAATCAAATACAAAACAATAAAAGCACTATTTTTTCTTCTCCATTCATGTATGCCTATTATATAAAGTATTACTCCGTATTAGTTTCAATTGATCTGTCAAAAACATCTCAGTAATCTGTCAATCAAGCAAAAAACTCAATGATGTAAGAAAATTTAAAAGGTCCAATCAAATTCACTTTGCAACTTATCCTCTCGGACAATTACTTATCTTTATTTAATGTTTTGGCAACAAAATGAAAATAGAATGTAAAAAAGCCTGAGATTTTCCGAGAGTGTGGAACCAGGTTTCACTCTGTTTTCTAAGTTTATTACAGGGTACTAATCTTGCTCATAATTTATGTTTGTTTGTCTGTATAGGATGTTGAAGCTATATGGGTGAGTTGATCTCTGGCAAAATGGTTTAGAGCATGATGGTGTCTTTGAGCATCAATCCATGCATTATAAAATCCTTTGAATAAGTGTAATTTAGATATTTGATTTTTTTAATAAGTGACAGTAAATAGCAATTTGAGGGCAGTGAATAGAAAATCCACGATAATAATTACACTCATATCTAACTAGCAATCGATTATCGTATTTTGAAGATAAATAAGAATCGCATAAGTTGATATTTACGAATAATCAAATTGACTACGATTCGCTTTTTCTTACCTTAAAAATCAATTCACTCCATGTTAGACAAACACCAAGAAATAGATAGATTACCAGAGGATTAAATTCATGTTTTCCTTTTTAAGAAGAACGGCAAGAAACATGTAAAGGATGGTGAACATGCATACGATTGGGCTGAAACTCAGAGCGGAAATCGATGAAATAGCCATGGCGGACCTCTCTGTGTTGAGCGACGGCGTAAAGCCTAACTTATTTCCTTTGTGTGGACTGTAGTCTAACCCATCAAACCGTGAGAGTATAGCTGTAACGACGAAGCTTTGGAGGACTGCGATATTGTTAGAGAAATGAGCGGCGTTGAGATATGAGAAGACGCATATCTTATCCAAAGAATTTACTTGCAATAGTTTCTAAGTTGATTAAAGTTAATGCAATAGTTTCTGTTTTTTAGGTAGATTCTACGGTACCTTTAAGGTACCATGCATTTGTCTATATGGATCAATCACAATAATGTAGTTGAATTATTTAAATCTAAATTAAAAATGATATAATGATTTGAACCAATCAAGTGAGTGGTAGGTAGAGTACCCCATTTTTAAATGGGTATCGGAGTTGTCACCTTTTTTATAGTTTAGGTGTCGGTGTTAGCGCTCCCCTAATTTTGGATTCTATTGACTACCATTCAAAGCCTCTAGACAGTCAAAGCCAGATATTATCACATTCAGCCTTCGTCGATACGAGTACCAAAGGACGAATCCAGCATGACTTCCTTTCTACTGAATACAGAAGGGTCCTCCTACTATGCAGGGTTTCCTTTCATCTGTATCCCGAAGGGTCCTCCCACCACGCGAACTCGCGACCTGAATTTCCATCCGCTACCTTCTAAGCCGATGTGCAACTCCGTGAAAGTAGGAAGAATCATTGGGAGCAAGACCTCCTTCCTCTCCCCTAAATGTGCCTAGCACGATTCGAACCCGAGACCTCCGCTAGGACACGATAACCTCTCATCCAGTGAGCTTCAAGCTAATAACACAGAGACCAAACATTTAATAAATCAGACCAGACCAGATCAGCCCTGTTGAGGTTAAGTCCCTCAAATCCGAAAGCCCAACACACACTTTGGATATTAAGGATATGGACAATAAGTCAAGGTTCTAAGAACATATAAAAGCTGAATAATAATATGCTCAAAAGTCCACTTGTATTAAGCAATTCGCTAATTACACAGGAAACTTCTCGAACGGCACGTCAGAATAGTGATAATACAATAACAAGAATGAGAAAGCTATTCTAGGTCTTGAGTCTCAAAATGCTAACCCTTTACAATGAGATTAGAGCCCTAATTTATACTAATAAAAGGGGATGGGGTGATGACGTGGCTGAATATGACTTGCTGCCGTTCTCGTGCCACTTGGATGCCCATACTCCCACTTGTTGACGCCATACCCTTGCATTAAATGCCCCTTCCCATTTGCAGGCTACCCGTTCGAGCTTCAGAACGATGCCCATGCTGTTGTCACTATTAATCTAATCCAAGTTACCTGCATGACCCGATCTCCGTTCGGGGTATAAATCCCTTATGGTTCCCTGTATCCCGTTCGGTATAACTAGTTACTGGGCTTATTCTTCTTTGGATCTTTGCTGTCTAATGGGTCTGGTATATTGGGCTTTCGGCCCAATATCCCAACACGAGTCCCCCACTCCTGATGTCCCAAACGATAGTGAGGGTATAAGGAAGTAGAATAATTTGGTTGTATGTCGTTCGACAATCGTGTATAGGATCTTGCCGGTTCCCGATGTCCTGATTTTACGGCCCGCTTGCGGCCGTCGTTTGACTTTCCCTACAATCGTCATGATTACTGGCCTTTGTTCCTCCGCGTGATACGTGTTTTCTCAAACGCTCCTGGTGACGTGTTTCTTTCTGATTGGTCAATGAATCGGCGCTTGTCAGACTATAAGTAGGCCTTTGGTTCTCCGGTTTTGGGTTTCGAATTTTCAGATCCTTCGTGCTCTTGCTCTGCCTTCTCTCTAGGCCCTTTCAAGTTTCCTTCGTTCAAGTACACTCTGCCCCTTCCTCTTGCTTTCATCATTTCGTGTACGGTCAACATGCCTTCTCGATCACATTCTTCCGGTTCGGATTCAGAGTTAGTCTCCCAAAGGGATATTCATGACCCCGCTGCACAGGACGCTATAGCGGTCCCCTTTGCAGATGTTGCCGGTGATGCGACTGCGGGGGCGGTTGGCGAAGACTCCTCAGGCAACTCTACTCCTTTTGGCGAGGACTCTGATGGCACGATTTCCGGTGATGAAATTACTTCAATGGCGGCTGGTCCCCCAGGCGACGTCCCTCGTTATAGGGTTGATCTACGATTAATCAGAGAAAGGAGGCAGAAACTGACTTCCCATAATAGGGCTTAAATTCGAGCCCTAATTCCGGACCCGGTGGACTTTCGTCTTCGGGCAGGGCTTCACCCAATGTGCCACCTCCCTGGAATGGTGGTGGTCCATTTAGACTCAGTGAAAGTTGGGCTTAGGTTCCCCTTGCACCCATTTTTTGTATCCTTCTTCAATTTTTATGAGGTAGTACCGGCCCAAATCATGCCGAACTCCTATCGGGTGATGGCCGACTTCATTTGCCGTTGTGTAGATGCCAAGGTTACGCCCAGTCTCGAACTGTTCCATCAATTTTTTAAGGTGGCCCCTCAGCAGACACACGAGTATCTGGTCACAACTGCCCGAACAAGACATATATTATTTAAGGGCAACATAACTTCCATAAAGGGGTTGAAAGACCGATTTTTCTTTGTTTCCGTCCCGGACGGTCTCATCCCGAATAGGTGGAATGCCTTCCCTCATAAATCTCCAGATCCGCTTCTTACCGAGAAGATTTGCAAGGATGTTTTTGCGGTAGAGGAGGACAAATCCACTGATATCATGAAATATCTGACTCCCAATCGGTTTGTCACAGCCGCGATAGGTACTGCCCGTACTCTTGGGTTTACTTGTCTGAGAACCAAGTGTCATGGGTCGGGCGGTCCTTCCGGTGCGAGAAACATTCCTCCTTAGTTTCTTAGCGGCCAGATCGCTCGGTACTAACTTTTGCCTTTGTTATTTTTTTAGCTCCCCACCCAGATACTCCTATGGATGACAGTCAAGTCCTTGTTGCCGGCGGAGTAGGGAAGAGAAAGAAGGCCAAAAAGAATCCCAAGGCCAATCCTTCTGCCACCACCTCTCAGCCTGTTCAGGCGGCTGCGCCTCTTCAGCAGGTTTTTCATCATCAGGAGCCTGAGGATATGATGATGGACAACCCATTCGGGTCTGATCAATTGTATCACTCTTCTAAGCATGTCCAGGCCGCCCAGGAAGCGACCTTGGAGGCTAGTCAGGTTAATTCCGCCAACCTTGCGGGGCAGGTCGAATGGGTCACTCTGGAGGATCCTGTTCATGAGATCCTGGAAAATGTTGGCTCTGCCGCGAGCCAAGTTTGGTCCACCTCTACTTATTTTAATAATTTTCCGCTCCCCATTCTGCCGGTCGATCGGGCAGAAGAATGTGTGGCTTTAACGGCTTTGAAGGTACTTTGTTTTCCCTGTATATTATCTCTTATGTTATCATTCATTCAGTATCTCATCTTCTATCTCCGAACAGGATCCTGTAGATGGGGTTGTACAGCTTGCAGTTGAGGAAGGCCCGCCTGGCCAAGGAGCGGGATCTGATCATCGCTCAAACTTCTGCTGAGCAGACTGCCGTGACGTGCACTTCGTCACGGTGCGTCAAAATAATTTTCAATACTAACACTTATACGTAGTATAACGTAGTAGAGTTAGTATCCACAGGGAAAGGAATACTTCTCTTTTTATGAACTAATAATTAAAGGGGGGGTTTTGAGATTGAATGATTTAATTTAATAAGAAACTAAGATGAACGACTTATATGAGATTTAATTCAAAGATAAAAAAGGACTTGGCATTGCTACTTTCCACTTGCTGATATATTTTAGTCGATCATTGTTATATCTATAACTTATTCCCTCTCGGATACTCAATTGAGGAGTATATCCAATTCATCGAGGGTAGTTATTAACAACGACCGTTCATTAATAACCCTTACTATTACTCAAGTATAGAACACCGCCATATACCGACTTGATAGTAGCTTTTAATCTTTTAACTCCTTGATGAAATCAATTGATATTGATAACCTCAACACAACGGTTTCGGTTTAACCAACAAAATTAATCCCTCTTAAGTTTATCAACCACGACCGTGCATTAATAAACCGAAGTTACTTACTTGTGAAACCATCAACGATTAACCATCGGTTCGTCGATCGTTTCTAGTAATAATTAATATATGAAACAAAACTAGTTGATCCTTTAAGTAATGTTCAAAATATTAATATGAAATATGAATAGGAATTAATTAATATTCAAGGAAGAATATTATTAAAGGAGATGAATCCTACTATAATTAATATCAAGATGTTAACTAATTGTCATCTTAGCAACACTCTCCAACATTATTATAGAGGAAGAAAATATTATTCTAACTAATGTCGAGATGTTAACTAATTGTCATCTTAGCAACACTCCCCAACATTAATATAGAGATAGTATTAAGGAAAGAACTATTAATTAATATTCAAGGAAAGAAGTTAAGAAAATAATTCACAACTTTAATAATCAACAAGCTTCAAGAGCAACACCAAGAATGGAAGTTTAGCTCCTCATTAGGAGACTAAACATAGCTAGAAAAATAGAAAGAAATGCTATTGTAAACTGAGCTTAAGAGTATGGAAGAAGGGGTGATCAAATAGGAAGGAAAAGGGGTGTATTTATAGGTGTTTGGAGGTGACAGGGTCATTTACCCGACCGGGTTTTTCAGAAACCCGATCGGGTTTCTTGAGTAAGTGCCCGGAATCTTCATTAGTCACATCTACCCGATCGGGTTTTTTATTTACCCGATCAGGTAAAAGACAAATCTTTGCCAAATCTTCGCCCTACACGTTTAATTGCCTCCAAATCAAAATTCGATCTTCGGGTCAAGTCAAACCCGATCGGGATTTCGGAAAACCCGGTCGGGTTTTTGACTATTTTCCCAAATTTTCACTTTCTCTTGTTCCCTTGCACTTTCCCTGACCTTTCCAGGATTCTTGTGATGATCTTTACCTAGTTTAAGCTCAGAAAATCCCTAATCTATACAAATTACAAGTAACTAGGAAAAATAAAGTATTACACCAAAAGTGTGTAATTTCCCAAACAACAACAAATAGAACTAGTTAAAATTACAAACATAAACAATAACAATTTTATACTATCAAACTCCCCCCCTACTTAGTTCATTACTCATCCTCGAGTAAAAGTCCACATAACAGCTCACAATCTGTCCATTGAACAGATAATTTCAAAGGAATGAAACGTTCAGTTTGTTCATCCATCCTCA